AATTTAAATTACACAATACTTTTTTCTTCATATATTAACCCTTTAAAAGTATTTTAATAATTTCAATGGTTAAATTACACTCTAAAAGCAATCCAAATTAAAAAACATGATTCTTGTCTTTTAAAATAAAAACTAATAATATTATTAAAAAATATATCATATTTTACAATTCACACTTACACAAATCATTAGACGAGAAAATAACCCCAATGTCAAGGAACCACCTCATCCGATATTTTTTATCATACAGAAGGAAAATTTCATGCTTATGACTCGAAGAAATAGTAGGTGATAGAACCTGTAATAAATGGATTTCAAGAGAAAGTTGGACAATGGAAACAGGATTTGAAATTGGATGGATTTTACAAACGGTTAAAGCATAGTAAATTCGGGTGGAACGTTAAATTTACTTCGAAGAAATATCGATCGCATGGTAGCTTGCTGAAACATTACGAATTGGGGGTGGAGAAAGCCTTCTCTACCTTGAGAGTAAGAAAGAGAAATGTGAGCAAGGAAACACTGATTCCTACGAGCATGATTGCCACCATTGGCTGCAATGAGATGTATGGACTAAGGAAGAATACGACTGCAATGCTAGCACTCTGCCACACTTTTAGCTGTGCAAATGCTCCTTCCTGTCCACAGAAGCGATGTTTAATTGTTGAGGTTCATAAATTGCAACAATTATGGACTAAACACACAGATTGATACCTCTAACGGTACTTTTCACATATTGAAACGGGATTAGTTAGTACCGTGTCATGCTTAAAGAGTAGTGCTAGCAAAGCACTAAGCTGTGTATTCAGTACCCCATCACCGACACCTAGTAGGGCTGCCATGAGAAGTGGATATATGGTGCCAAGTACTCCACTAGTTATGCTGCATCATAACAAAGTAAAACCGGAAGTTGGATTGCAACATGAGGGGATCAAAACTCATCTCATGGAGACTTGATGGGAATATCTTGTACAAACCTGCTCTTTAGCAGAAGCCAGATAAATATCACAGCCTGAACTAAAAGACCGCCACAAACTATGAAAGTAATTGATGTGAGACCAGAGGTGAGTCGACCAGCCACCAGTGAACACTGAAAGAAGTTTTAATAAGAAGCTCAGACTGGAAATTTCAACAATCAATGAATCAACATGACATATCTTGTTCTTATTTATTTCCTTCTTTCTTTCCTTTTTTCAACATAACACTAGAGGAAGAAAGTTGATTTCTAATGCTTAAATAACCAGAGTGCTAATTTTGCAAGGCATTCAATTTGAAGTAAAAGTGTAAAACCAACAGCTAACTATATTGCTGCATGTCAATACTTACTATTGCATCAAAAGCCCCATAAACTGCCATTGCACCACCAACACCAGACTCTCCAAGGGCTGGCTTTACAACATCCTTGGTGAAATCAGCCCTGAAATTGAAAACATCCCATGAAAAAAACAAATTGAATTAAAGAGAGAAAATAAAAAGTCAGCACTGGAAACATATTATCATGGCAATGACCAATGAAAGTACAGCTCTAAAGGTGATTGATGAATTACCATACAAAAGCTTGCTGCAATCCTGAGTAAGCAATAAGGGGAATAATCAACATCATCCGTATGTCAAGGAGAGGAGTGATAACTGACTTTGAAAGAGATACCACAGAAGAAGAAAAACTGGCAGAAGAAACTGCTGGTCCCTTTTCTTCTTTGCTGTCAGTTTTACGTAAGAAGCACATAAGAACAGTACCCAACGTCATACTACAAAGAAACACAATGAACAATACAGTTGTGCCACTCGTACTTCCATCCTACAAGTGAAAGAAGAGTGATTTATTAGAACTTAGAAGATAGGAAAAATAAATTATAAATAATTAAATATTAGCCTCAGAATCCATTGGAAGGACATTACAAACACATTGAATCTCATCTTACTGCATTTTTACTTTGCACTTTCGATATGGTATCTATGCAAGAAAAAACTACTTCTGCACTATTCTTCTGTACAGTAGTAGCCATTTTGATTTTGGACAAATAAAATTTACCTTTCACCCAAAAAGAAAACCTACTTCTATAGTTTGAGAATAAATTACTGGTTTACCAGAACTTGCACACCTAGAGGTACAAAATGCACAATTCAGCATTTTCCAGAAAAACATCAGCAGGTATTAATCTAGAAATAGAAAAGGCAAAGATAAGGATTTGTAGCTTAACAACAAAGCTGTGGGTACCTTGCCATCACTCAGCAATGCAAGTGAGATAAGATTTCCAACAAACTGAAATTAAGGAAATCGAAGCAGCGTTAATATTTAAAACATCTACAAATAAAAATCGATTGTTGGGAAAAGCAACAATGACTAGACTAATAAAATAATAATTTTGCTAGAGAGCTCATCAGTGGAACACCTGGTGAAGAGCAAACATTCCCCAAAATTCTCCATTGAATTTACCAATCACTGTTCCTTCTTGAGAGTTGAAATCTCTTGCATGATTGCGTGCAATGGAAGTGAGGTATGTCCCCTGATGGATCCAAATGGTAAGAAAAAATGCTGGAGTTCCATCTGCAATTGTTTTCATATATAAAAGATAATAAAAGAGCTAGAAAGATGTAGAATATGCATGCACCTCGCCAACCCATATTATTGAGGCAGCAAAACCAAGGTACAAAGAGGCTGGTACCATGGTATACCTACAGGAGAGGAATTTAAAAAACATTTAGTTGCAGAGTTCCAATGAACAAAAATTCCTTCAAGATATGGTAAATGAATGATTCAAGGAAATACAGTTATCAACACTGTTCTGAAGTAGATTAAAATTAATATCATAAATTGGTCAAGAAAACATGTTATCACAAAATATGCATGAAAAACACTGAATTATTTCTCTGTCAGATTTCCTAGCCATAGCAGATTTACACCCATTTCACCTTCAGTTATGATCATAAAGAAAGGACATCAATTAGCATACATAAGTTTGACTATATTCCTCTATGATCATAAATCAGGTTCCTGACAGGTCACAAAAACCTCCAGGGCAGAGACTCAAAAATGGATTGTTAAAGAGCCATTTCTTATATCCTTCTCGATCTTTTTAACAATTTTATATCTCAAGATCAAGCCTTATTATCTACTTGAGTTGAAAATTAATTACATATCTATTGCACTAAGCAATATTTCTCTAAGAATTTATGTTTAACAGGTAAGTAGGGGTTACTAAGATTGCATTGAAATTGGTCAAGCAACATAGTCTACATGGATAACCATTAATCAAAAACCTGCTTATCAGGAAGACAGCTAGAAGATTAACTTTTGCTACCTACGGGAACTACTCAGGAAGTACTTTCCCAAACTAAAGACAACTTTGATTGATGTCTAGTAACATCCATATCATTCAAAATGTACATTCACCAGTTTGCTTCAAAATAAAGACCATGGATAAGTAATTACCATGATGGCTTCAAATTTGCTGCTATGAACAGCCAATACCCTGTTGTCCCAAGAACAAGAGCATTCTTTGAACCCAAAGCACGAACCACCAATGAAGCAACTAAAGAGAAGAACATAAAAGAGACATACAAAATGCCAAGGGATATTGTACCTAAATCTCCTGCCTGAAACCAAATTCAATTCCAGAACCATCAAAATCATTGATTCAACAATCTACTTGCACAAAACAAAAATCTGTCACAGGTTTTTCCTAATTCAATTCCAAGGAGTTGCAATTGAACGCGATTTAATATCGAAATCCAATAACACGACCATGAAACGGAAACTCACAGCATTGACAGTAGTCTCCAAATTCTGTGCAGCTCCATAGGCAAGAAAGATCAGCAAAAACGCAGAGCTCAAAATATGAACATCTCTGGTGTTGTTCTTCGGGGTTGGACTCTGGACATCATCGGCAACCAGAGGCGCCTCCTCATCGCAAGCATCCGCAGGCACAGAGTCCATTGCTACTAGCTCTCTGGCTTCCGGCTCCAACAGATCATCGAATTGCTTTAAAACCCTAGGAATTTGAGAGAGGGTCTAAAAGAGTGAGGTCAAGGAAGAGAGCTCGAGGGCTAGATCGTCAGGACTAAACGACAAGAACAAGTGTTTGGGTTCTGATTAATTTAAGCTAAGAATCTGTTTGGTTGGTGAGAAAATGCAGGAAATGAAACAAAGTTAAGGAATCAGGACGAGGACATATAGATCTTCCAATAAGACGAAGATGATGATCCTATGAGTAAGTAGGACGACGATGGAAGCAGAACACCGAAGAATTGGGGGAAAAATTTTTGTTTATTTGTTAAATATTATTTTAAGTTTGTCCGAACAATGGATAGCACTGTTTGGCAGGACCAAAAATTATAAACAGAATTTGGACGAAAATATATCAGTCCCAAAATAAAGAGAGAAACATCAAAGAGGAGACACGCAATAAGAGCCTACTGGTATACAATTTGGGACTGTATCATATCATATTGTTATATAATTTAAAATTATATTAAATTATAAAATAAAAATTATTAAATAGAGGGAAGTTCATTTTATTTCATTATTACGATTA